CCCTCCCTCTGCCCCCACCCCCCCTCACACACAGCCCCCAGCCCCCTTCTGCAGCCTCCACCCTGCCCCTTCACACACAGCCCCCGCCCCCCCCGCCCCTCATACACAGCCCCCCCCCCCCCCCCCCTCATACACAGCCCCCATCCCCCTTCACTCAGAGCCCCCACCCGCTCCCGCTGCCCCCACCCCGCCCCCTTCACGCACAGCCCCCAGCCCCCTCCCTCTGCCCTCACCCCGCCCCCTTCACTCACAGCCCCCACCCCCTCCCACAGCCTCCACCCCGCCCCCTTCCACAGTCCCCCCCCCACCCCGCCCCCTTCACTCACAGCCCCATCCCCTCCCGCTGCCCTCACCCCGCCCGCTTCACTCACAGCCCTCGTCCCCCTCCCGCAGCCTCCACCCCGCGCCCTTCACACACAGCCCTTGCCCCCTCTCGCTGCCCCCACTCCCTCCCGCTGCTCCCACCCTGCCCCTTCACACACAGCTCCCACCCCCTTCTGCCCTCACCCTGCTCCCTTCACACACAGCCCCCGCCCCCCTCCCGCTCCCTCATACACAGCCCCCATCCCCCTTCACTCAGAGCCCCCATCCCCCTCCCGCTGCCCCCACCCCGCCCCCTTCACGCACAGCCCCAGTCCCCCTCCCTCTGCCCTCACCCCGCCCCCTTCACTCACAGCCCCCACCCCCCTCCCACAGCCTCCACCCCGCCCCCCTTCACACACAGTCCCATCCCCCTCCCGCTGCCCTCACCCCGCCCCCTTCACTCACAGCCCCTATCCCCCTCCCGCTGCCCTCACCCCGCCCGCTTCACTCACACCCTCGTCCCCCTGCAGCCTCCACCCCGCGCCCTTCACTCACAGCCCCTGCTCCCCCCTCCCTCCCGCTGCTCCCACCCTGCCCCTTCACACACAGCCCCCGCCCCCTCCCGCTCCCTCTACACAGCCCCCGCCCCCTCCCCTCCCTCATACACACCCCCATCCCCCTTCACTCACAGCCCCCATCCCCCTCCCGCTGCCCCCACCCCGCCCCCTTCACGCACAGCCCCAGTCCCCCTCCCTCTGCCCTCACCCCGCCCCCTTCACTCACAGCCCCCACCCCCTCCCACAGCCTCCACCCCGCCCCCTTCACACACAGTCCCATCCCCCTCCCGCTGCCCTCACCCCGCCCCCTTCACTCACAGCCCCTATCCCCCTCCCGCTGCCCCCACCCCTTCTGTCTGCCCCCACCCCGCCCGCTTCACTCACAGCCCCTGTCCCCCTCCTGCTGCCCCCACCCCCCCCCTTCACACACAGCCCCCGTCCCCCTCCCGCTGCCTCTACCCCGCCCCTTCACACACAGCCCCCGTCCCCCTCCCGCTGCCCCCACCCCGCCCCCTTCACACACAGCCCCCGTCCCCCTCCTGCAGCCTCCACCCCGCCCCTTCACACACAGCCTCCGGCCCCCTCCTGCTGCCTCCACCCCGCCCCGGGTCACACACAACCCCCCCCCCCCACACACAGACACACAGTCTCTGTCCTCCCGCACCTCCTTGGTGCACGCAGTTCCTGCTCTTCCTCCACTGCCCGTTTCCCCCACTCCCAAGCACACACAGCCTCTTCCCCTCCCCCTTCCCAGGCATATGCTCCCCAGGGCAAGGGCTGACTGGGTGCAGGGGTGCTAGGGGAGGGGGAGAGTGTAGAGCGTTCAGTGGCAGGGCACATCTGCCTCCTAGCATGACTCAGCGGCACCTGCCACCAGGCTGGCACCTGGGCTTCTCAGCCCAGTGGGGCATTGTCCCTGGCGGGTGAGCTTTCCCAGCTGTGGTGAGTGCTGGGGAGAGCAGGAGGGCATCTCCCCTGCTCTGGTACCTGTACCCCTTATGGTGCCTTTCAGACACACAGCCAGGGCCTGCTAGAAGTCCTCACCTCCAGGCCTTATGTTTAGTCTCTTGTTCTCCCAGGGCCAGAAGCTAGGATGGGCAGGCAGAGCAGGAGTCAGGGCGGGGAAGCAGCTCTGTGGAACTGGCATGTTGGTGCCTGGGTTTCTCCTCCATTCTGCTCCAGCAGCAAATCTAGCTGGCTGGTAGCATGTGTCCGAAAGATTCCTCCACCCACTGGCACTGCCTGTCTTGTGGCCAACAGTGCCGAGGCCTTCCATGCCGTGCTCAGGAATCCAGCCTGGGCTGGCAGCAGGGTGGCACCCACCCAGCCCTCCACAGCTACATGGGCTCTGCAGGCCGGACAGGGACAGGGGGCTTGTCCCCAGGCTGAGCAGCCGGTGCAGGGAGTAGAATGGGTTTAGGGTAAGGGTTGAAGTAGGGAACTCCTTCCCAGGAGGCAGATTACACAGCCCCTGCTCTCTCCTGACTATGGCTAATGTCAATCCACAGCACACTGTCTATTATTGTCATCAAACCGCCGGGAAAAGTTCATCCCATTGACCCTCCTGCCCCAGCCTTGCTCGGCCGATTGCAATGAGTCCTCTTCAGACATCCTGTAGATCAGTACCCCAAACATTGCTATGCCCGTGTGAGATGTACGGTACAGAGGGGAAGGTACTGAAGGTGGAAGTCACGGAGGGAAAAGGCTGCATGGGGCAATGTTCTGGCAAATTCCCAGCCGCAAGAATTCAATTCCACCTCCCTAATTCCTCCCTGTGGATACTCGTATCAGCCTCACTTCCTGGTCTACACTGGTGCATATCACTGCCATGGGTAGCTGGAAACAGCTGCCATGCTTCACCCCAGAGGGACAGGAGAAATGATCCTTGAATTTTTAAAGGGGTCTGGGCTTATGCAGGGTGAGTGGCACCATACTACTGTAATTTGTTATATGGTCGCCCATTCTTCCTGAGGCTGGGTCCCCGGGAGATGGGGGGGAGGGGGGAGACTGCTGCTCTCTATTTGCATGCATGTGGGGGGGGGGGGGGGCTGCACAGGTTGCATGGTGCGTAACTCATGGTGTGAGACAACAGCCTGAATCCTTATAGGTTGCCCCATTGCTTACCAACACAATTTGGGCTACCGTAGTGGGCCAGCCAACTCATGACTCCGCAAACCTCAGTGACTGTGAATCCAGTGTTACCAAACACGCACCGCTCAGAGAACGGCAGCCTTCTACAATGGCCATTAGCTTGCAAGGGAGCACTATACAAGGGAGTCTACCCTCCCCGTCACCATCACCATTCCCCTCCCGAGAGAGGAGGGGAGCACTGCCTGGACTGGGACACAAATAACAGACCAACAGGTCCTCAGGTCACATCAGCACTGATCACAGGTCCATGTGGAAGATGTAGGCAGAGCTATGAATGGCAGCAAGTGGAAGTTGCATGGGAAGCAGGAGGTCAAGATGGACATGGCGAGGGGCAGGGTCAGTTTGCCCCCTGTGGTTCAATGGCCCCTCCCCCTTTGCCTCCCTATCCAGGGTGGCTCAGGCGTCCCCACTGTTGCACCTCTAGGAGGCTTTGCCTGTTCCTCTGGCTGTAGCAAAGCATGGTGGGAGGCCACCGGGGTGCGGGTGGGGAATAGGTTCAGGAGCTTTGGGGTCTATCACTGATGCTGGGCAGACAGGTTGTCATTCTGCACCCAAAACTGGCTCCAAAGAAACAAAACAGCCTTGCCCTGAATTGTTTATTGATCCACACAGAGCCAGCACCATGCACAGGCCGAGCCTCCGGGGAAGCGCAACCCCCACGGAAGCTCGGGACATTCAACAGAGTCGAGTTCAAAAACATTTACTGAAAAACTCAAATCCCAAAGCGAGGCCCCGCTGCAAAGAGGGGGGCCTCTTGGTGCATTCGCACAGCCTCGGGTCCCAGGCACTCATGGGGAGTGGCTCGGCTGCTTCACTCCAGCCTTGCAGCCCTTCACTAGTGCCCCAGCTCCCTGGGCACAGGGGGTCTGCCGCTCCTCGGGGAAGGGTTGGCAGTGCCTAGCAGGGCCTGTCCAAGGCTAGGGCTGCCATCCCTCGCCCTCCAGTGCTATCTACTTGCCATTGCTATTGGCCCAAGCTCCCACCAGGATGCATCGAGCTTGCTGGGGGCAAGTTGTGGGGTGCCATCCCTCCAGTCACGTGAAGGACCTAGCACACAACAGCGCCCATGGCCTCTTCTCCAGAATACCTACGGGGGCAGACCCTTCCCTGGCACCAGCTCCGTTGAGGCTACACCTGGGGATGGGGTTGCCCCATGTGGTCCCCTGAGCTCCTTCTCCTGGCCTTCCTTTGGATGCTGCCCTCTACCGAGGCCACCTTTGGTAACAGGATCCTGGAAAGACCAACACAGGGTCTTGAGGGCTGCATTGGTCCCTGGAGCAATTCCCCTAGGCTTGCCCCACAGACGGCCCTGAGCGTGGCTGAATTGAGAGAGTCTTCAGCCCTGCCAGCACAGCACCCTGTGGCTGCACCTGTCCAGGGACCTAGGGTCTGGCCACATAAGCAGGACAGCCAAGACCTCCTGAACGACAGGGCAGGGCTGAACAGATCCAGGGCCCTCCCATTCTCAGAGTCCACTGCTACCTCCCCCTCCCCAAGGAGTGGGGAACAGGGTTCAGGGGCTGCCAATAAGGTCCACATTGAGCCTCCATCTATACCCCAGACACGGCTAGGTCCAGTGGAGACCAAGGCCCTGGCAGGAGGATGAACCTGGACCAGCTGTACCGCCCCACCTCTCCCCAAGGCACAGCCGGAAGCAGCCATCCTGGCAGTGACCCAGCAGCCCCACATATACGCACACATGATGGGGGGGGCAGTTCAGTGCCCCCCACCCGGGGGAAATGTCCCCATGCACACAGTCCCTCCATCGCTCACATTCGCGCCTCACATGGCATTGGGGGCCCCCGCAGGGGAGCCACCCACCTCCCATTCCTCTGCCGCCCCCTCCCACACTCCCCCCCACCTCCCTGCACCCACGCAGGGGAGCTCCCGACCCACAAGCATAGTCCCGGAGCGGATCCGTCCATGTCCACCTGGCCTCGCCGCCTCTTCTCCTAGCCACCTGGTGTCGGTTGGAGTGTCAGGTCCGGGACGGGGGCGGCTCAGCCCGGGGTGCGGGTAGTCAGTGCCTCCTGCATCTTCTGGCGGCAGCGGGCGTACTTCTGCAAGATCTGGCGGATGTGCTCCTCCTCCTCACGCTGCAGGATGCGCAGGAAGTTGTGCAGCTCAGGCATGCTGAAGGCGTCCCACTGCAGGGCGAGAGGGCAGAGGGCCTGTCATTCTGGGAGCCTGCGCCACGGTGTGCAGCATCACCTAGGTAGTGGGTAAGGGCTGCGGGGCATTAGCAGAGCTCTCAGGGGATTATGGGGTTGGAACCCAAGGCTGGACTAGCGTGCGGTGGCGGTAAGCAGGGGAAAGCTGTGGGTGAGGATGGAGGGGCATGAACAGAGCTGTGTGGGGTCCATAACAGAAATGGCAGAGTGGCTGCAGGTTAGGACTGATGGGCATTGGCAGGGGGAGAAAAAGAGGGAGCCCAGGACTGCAATAACAGAGTGGCTACGGCAGTACTGTGTGGGGACCACGACTGGAACAGCAGGGGGCTCCGGTCCAGTACCCTTCAACTACACTGCCCCATGCCGACCAAACCTTACACGAACCAGTAGTGATCTCAGATTCCCTCCCAATGGAAGCGGGGGGTGGGGGTGAGGTTCTCATGCTGGGGCAGTGCCCTGCACCTCACTGTGCACATCTCATGCTCTCAGGCATAGCCTTCTGTTTCTACCTCTCCCATGCCCACGTCCCAAATGGGGCCTTGCTGAACTCCCCTATTTACTCCCATTGTTCCCCTTATCCTCTGGAACGGACGATTTTAGGACATCGTAGCATGAACTGACTGTCAGGGAACACCTGTCTGTATGTGGATCCCCCAAGATTTAGCAGGGTTGTGTCTGTCTCCGCCAGGCCAGAGACAATGGGGACTAATCAGCATACAACAATCAATCGTCCATTCAAAGTAAAATGCTTTGGGACAAGGGGATTGCTCCAGCTGGGAAAAGACACTTCCTGCCCCTGTCTGAAGGGAGGGGGGTTTGGAAAGTTATCAGGAGGAGAATAAAGGAGCTCACCAGGAGGAAAGGTCCAGGAGTGAGCTATTTTTGCAGCAGATGAAGAGGAGGGAGGCTGTGGCAGGGACGTGCCCGCCTACCGGAACACAAATGTTCCCCAAGGGAAGGGTGAGCTAGCGAGGGACATCGCGTTTAGGGTGTTTGATTGTTTGGTACGGTCTAATCTCCTGCGCGTCACATCAACAATATAAAGAGCATCAAGTTGAAAGACTGTACAAAGCGTGTGCCTGTGTGCACAACTGCCCAACTATTCTGTGCCCCCCAGACAGTTAAATTGGAACCGGCGTCACCCCTTTCGGGAGGAGTTCTGGGGGCGGGGTGTGTTCACGCACTGGGGAGTGTGAAGGGTCAGTGCTGCGCCCCGAAGGGCAGGTGGCTGGACAGCGGGTTCCAGCACTTGAAGCAGGGTGGCCAGATGCGAGGTCTGTGCCCTGAGTGTGCCTAGGGATCCTGAGACCAGGGCAGTGGCTCCATTCAGGCTCCAGGAGCTTGAAGCACCCTGGGGATGCGGATGACAGAGGCTCGGATTCCCCTCGCAGCAACCCTGGTGGGTGGCCAGGAAGGGGCGCTTACAAGAATCCCTGACACCCCTCTGCACTCAATTCCCCCTTTCCAGCCGGCTAGCCCTGCCATCAGGACCAGTCAGTGAGGCAGCCAGCAGAGGGCAGTGCTATAACACCCTTCCCACAACCCATAGGCTTCCCAGAAGGACTCAGGCTCCCCCTCAAGACACATCAGGCCATTCCCAGACTCACATTGACCTCTCCGGTCTCGTTCTCCTTCAGAACGAAGCTGAGGACCTTCTCGTTGGGGCCAGCCAGCAGCCGGAGATGCAGGGGCTGCTCCTCATCTGAGAGCTTCCGCAGGTACACTGCAATGACAGACGGGCCACGCAGCTCAGTACAGTGGAGCAGACAGCTCCAGCTACTCCAGCCCCAGCCTCTCCCAGCAAGGGTGCTGGGGGAGTGGAGCAGGAGTAATGGCTGTGGGGGGGCGGGGGCTCCCAGCCACTCCAGCCTTGGTCTCTCCCAGCAGGGGGCACTGTGGGGAGCAGGGCACAAGCTCTGGCCATCCTAACTATGCCAATCCCAGCCTCTCCCAGCAGGGGGCGCTGTAGGGAGCAGGGCAGGACTGCTGGCTATGTGGGGAGCTCCCAGCTATTTCAGTCCCAGCCTCTCCCAGCGAGGGGCACTGTGAGGAAGTGGGGCAGCCACTGTGGCAGGGTAAAATTTAAGCCCTGGCTAGTCAGTGTAATCTGCAAACCGGGAATACCTCTGGCTGGTTTTAAAGCCGGTTGAGATGGGGACTGCGGGGCGGACGTGTGGAGGGACTGAGCCCAGGGGAAGAGAGGAGGCCAGGTACCTTGGTCGTCCTTCTCAGCTCGCTCGAAGAGGGCAAACTTGCGGGGGTTGTCGACCACCATAAACTTCTTGAGCAGGGCCTCGATGACCTCGCTGGCGCGGGTGCGGGAGATGATGTGCAGGTGCTTGACTGTGTCCTTGGGCAGGTAGAAGGACGTGCGGCGCGTCACCACCTGGGAGCGCGGCGCCTTATTGGCATTCTGAATGGAGGGCGCCTTCTTGCTGGCTGGCACTGAGACCGGCCGAATCAGCTTCAGCTGCACCTTGATGAAGCCAGTGTAGGAGCCATCTTTGTTCTGGGAGGAGGGAGAACCAAAGAGAGAATGAGCTGGGCAGAGCCGGGGAACAGGGCAGGAAAATGGAGCAGCGAACATGAAGTAGGCCCTGAGTGCAGCCCCTGAGAGCAGGGAACACCCAGAATGGGATCCCTGTGCCCCCTGTAATAGGCTCTGGATGCAGCCCCTAGGAGCAGGGAAGACCTGAACATGGAGCCATGACCCCCCTGGAATGGATTCTGAGCACTGCCCCTTTTTGAGAGTTCAAATCTGAAGCTGTGAGCTCCTTGCCCTGCCCCATCGCCCGGGCGCAGACCCTCCACGCTCCTGGCCTCACCAAGCTCATGAAGAGGTTGCTGTTGATCTGGCTGTTGTATTCCTTTATCTTCTGCTCGATCTCAGCTTGGGTCAGAACTGGCTTCTCCCAGTCAATCTGCTCGTCCTGCAGGAGAGAGAAGGGTGGGGTCAGTCCACCTCCCTGGTCAGCAGGGGCTCCCACTCAGCTCCTGTCCCCACAGCTACCCTCTGCCTTCTGCATCTCAGCCCGGCCACAACCCAGGCCCACTCGGTGATGTGGCGATTGGCACAGCACCCACAATGCCCTGCTGCAGGAGTTAGGACTGCTATGCTTCCCCCACCCTGAGAACTTCCTGCTGCCAGGTCTCCAATAGCCCTGGGCATGGGTGCTCTGGATCCTGTGCGCGCTGCCCCCACCCGGCACCCTCCACCCTGCTCTGGCAAGTTCACCTCTAGGAAGAAGAGGCTCCCTGACCTGGCCCAGCTCAGGAAGCCAGCAGCACCAGCACCAAGAAGCACCATGACAGGGTCCGTGCCCCATTTCCTGGGGGTCTGTCCCTGATGTGGTGCACATCAGGAGTGACTCTGATGTAGCCAGGGGGTCACAGTGAAGCAAGAGAGGGGGACAGGTGCTGTGTGTGACACGGATGGCTGGATTTCAGTCCAGGGGGACGTCCTGTTGGTTTGGCCTGGGTGAGCCAGACAGGCTGGGGCGGGGGGGGGACGGGGACAGAGGAGTTCCCTGCCCCACGGGAGAGGTAGATACCAAGTCTGCTTTAATCACACCTGCTCCGCACGGCAGACCAGAAACCCCCGTGGGCAGATATCTCGTGCGAGGGGTGCAACTGGAGAGAGATAAAACCCTGCTGAGCCCTCCCGTAGGATCCCCCCAGGCCTGGCTGGGGAGAGCTCCCTGGACCCACAGGCAGGATCAAAGTGGGGAGTCAGGAATCATCCCCCCTACTTGTTATCCCAGAGGCTTCCAAAAGGCAGCGAGCCATACAGAGGTTTATATCATGCAGCAGCCTGCCCCACAGAAGGCACAGCAGGTGGACACTAGGGGAGGCCGAGGGCAGAGGAAGGCTGTGTCCATGTTGAGAACAGCGGGAGCTATGCCAGCCAGCACTGCAGACTGCCATGACCACTGGAGAAACCACTTCACAAAGCCAAGAGCTACAGCAGCTGCTGGCCTAATCCAGGGGCGAGGAGGCACTCGCTGCCGAGCAGCGCCCACGGGCAGGTGTATTGCTCACACCCCCGTGCTGACACAGGGTCCTCACACAGGCGGGGCTGGGGTGCGAGTCAGTGACCAGCCTCCTGAAGAAAAAAAATATAGGAGGCTCCAGCAGGAGATCCCACCTCCAGGGCACCACAGGCGATTGCACCCCTGGCCCTGCCAGCAGGCCAGATACGGGGCCTGCCCACAGTGCCTCTGTGCCACCCTCAGCCAGGGGGTGATCAGACTACTCAGATCACCTGCTCTGAGCCCCTGCAAACACAGGCCAGAGAATTCCCAGGATTGCTTTCAAGGGGCTAAGTGGCCCAGGCCCCAGGCTAAACACCTGTGTCCCCCCCCCCCCCCGACCAATGCAAGGCAAAGAACAGCTGCTTGGTCTGAGGTATTTGCTTCAATGCCAATGTCGCTCTTCAGGGGCTAACTTGGCATTGCCCATGCCATTCAGGGTTGGCAAAGAAGATCTAGACACAACTCTCCACTGGGGCATGTCCCCAGCCAGGAATACCACAATGATGGGCCATCTTACAACACCTCAGCACGACAATGCAGCCAGCTCATGTATTACCAGCTCTTACTTCCCACAGATCAGACACAAACACGCCCAGGACACACATGCTGCCAGAGCAGGAAGGCCAACCCCCTCTCTTTCCGCTGCCACAGAACTTCATTGCACCCTCTTGCATCAGCCTGGCTTCCTGTTGACCCCCCCTCCCCTCCCCACAAGGGGAATTACAGATGAGCTCACCACAGACCAATCAGAGCTCTCCTGGGATTTCTGGGAACCACTTCCTTTCCTTTCCCACCGCAAAGCCACCAGCTGCCTGCGCAGGATGGCAGTGGGGGAGAAGAGAGATGTGAATGGCACGTGGCACACACACCTCTCCACTGCCTGGCACACATCAGACATGCGTGGACACACCAATGGATGCTTACACACATGTACACACAAACAGATACTACATAGCGTGTGGGTAGTAACCCGCACCTGGCATTAGCACGTGCGGCAGCTGCCCAGTATGCTGTCCAGGGGAGAGAGATGGCCAATGAGAGGGCAGATTGTGCTGGGGAGGGGGCCCCGAAGCCACCCAAAGGGGCAGCTGCCAGAAGTGTTAGAGAAGGAGAATGGAGATGCTGAGCTAGCGGGCGAACCGGAGGTGGGCTGAGCAAATAAAAGAACAGGAGAATACAAGCAGGGGACTGGGAAGAAAAAAGGAGGAAAGAAGGAAAAATAGGAAAGGTTTCAGGTGAGGAGAAGCAGGTGAAAAAAAAAGGACCTGGATATATGCACAGACACTGTTAGAGAAGGGAGGGAAATCAAATCTACAGATTTACAGGAGAGAGAGAATCAAGGGGAAAAAAAATCTGAAATATAAGTGGGGGAAAAGGGAACTGATCAAAGCTGCATGAGATGCAGACAGATCCTGAAAATGGTAAACAAGAAGCCCCCTCACAAAACACCTACAGTTCTTGTAAACAGAGAGAAATTCTTTGAACATCTTTGGACAGAACACAGATCAAAAGGTGCCCTATGGCCAGGTGAGGGCCCACTAAGTGCGGATAAACTCGGCACAGAAACAGAGAATCTAAGGAGCACTTTAAGCCGAAGAGGAGCAAAAAAAGAGGACAGCAAGAGTGGAATTGGACTTACAGCCAAGGAGAGGAAACGTTGATTCTTCTCCGAAGTGACGCAGGATATTGTTGAGTGAGCTCTTGTGTTCTTGTTAACAGCAATGCATTTGGTACCAATCGCACAGTGTGGACAAGCACACAAAGGTTAATGAGTTGGTCACCTATATAGCTTATTATAAGTAGTAAGTCTTTGGTAACGTTCAATATTATTTGTGCTCCTGGTACAATTTGTGGGTTTTCCCTATAAAATGTAAAGTTATCCCTTTTGCCTTGGTTTGCCTCTGGCTCTCCTCACAGCTAGCACAGTCTAGCCAGGTCAACACACACACAGTTCAGAGACAGACCATGCACACACACACCCTGCTGGTGCTGCACGTCAGAGACCAACTCATCTCAAGCAGAAGCTAAAGCAGCTTCTAATTTGCAATTGCTAGACCTGTTTTCTCCTCTTAATCCATGTCCACCTATCTGCCTGTATCCAACCCTAAACAGTGCCATCAGCCCCTTACTACCATGCACACCACATTTACCACATCAGGTCCAGCAAGCATTCATGGAAGGTGGCAGGACTGCTTCCCTGTCCCCAGGCTGCCTGCTAATTAATATCTATCAGGTGTTTGAAACTGGAGTGCTCTGTGGCTTAGCTGAGCTGCTTTATCACCCACCAAGCTATGGTTGCTACTCTGGTCCTTCCCCCAGCTCCCATATCTCTGACCCTGCAGATCAGTCAGTTGATGATCCTCTAGGGTACTGGTTTTCAAACTCTGGGTTGCAACCCAGTACTGGGTTGTGGAGTGTAAGGCACTCGGTCCTGGCAGCTCTGGTCAGCACCACTGACCGGGCTGTTAAAAGTCCTGTCGGCGGTGCTGCCCAGCTAAGGCAGGGTAGACCCTACCTGTTCTGACACCACACTGCGCCCTGAAAGTGGCCATCAGCAGGTCCAGCTTCTAGGCGTGGGGGAGCCCCATGGGGCTCTGTGCGCTGCCCCCGCCCCGAGCACTGGCTGGCCAATAGGAGCTGGCATGCGTGGGGGTGGGGGGCAGTGCCTGCAGGCGAGAGCCACGCAGAGCCTCTTGCGTGCCTCCACCTAGGAGCCAGACCTGCCGCTGGCCGCTTCCAGGCCACAGCGCAGTCCGTGGTGCCAGGACAGGCAGGAAGCCTGCCTTAGCACCCCTGCTGTGCCACTGACTGGGAGCGGCCTGAGGTAAGCCTGCGCCCCAATCCCCTGGTCAAGCCCTGAGCCCCCCAAACCTGGAGCCCCTTCCTGCACCCCAAACCCCTCATCCCCGGTCCCATCCCAGAGCCCTGACCCCCTCCAGCACTCCAACCCCCTGCCCCAGCCCCCTCCCACACCCTGAACCCCTCATTCCCAGCCCCACCCCAACCCTCTGCCCCACCCCCGAGCCCCTCCCACACCCCAAACCTGTCATCCCCAGCTCTGTTGGGCCGCGGGCATCAACAATTTTTTTTCAACTGGGTCGCCAGAAAAAAAAGTTTGAAAACCACTGCTCTAGGGAATGGTTCTCCAGTGTGATCATTCAGCCTGCACTGCCCTAGCTCTGGGCAGGTGCTTGTCCCCTGGTTGTGGAGCAGGAAGCAAGTACCCAGGTTCTGCTCCACAAACAAGAGACCAGGAAGTAACTCAGAGCAGCAGCCAGGAGGCCCTTCAGGCTGAGCCAGAGATTCCGGAGTCCGAAGCACTTTAATAGCAGGACACCCCACGAATCACGAGAAATTATCTGACACATTCGGGGGTGTGGAATCCCACACAGCCTCCATCTAAAGCCAGGGACAAATGTCTGGACACTGCAGACCCATCTCCTGAGAAATGCGATTAGATCAACAGCTTGTCCCATCAACACAGTGAGGCTGGGCATTACAATTACCCTGATCTTCCCAGAAGACTTGACAGACAACTGGAAAACTGCAGGGTTATGTCAGCAGACACCTGAGGGATGAACAAAGATTAATGAAAGGGAATGAGAGAGCAAATGCTCATACCGGTCTGTCTTTGTTAAGACCCATCTAATTCAAATGCTCAACAAATAGGCAGGAGGAAAACTCTCCCTGTTAAAGTTTCAATACCTTTCAATTAAAGACTGAGAAAGCTCTTGCCTCCATGTCACGGAGTCACCGGGGCAATGCTCTAGAACTACTCCATACGAAGCCAGTCAGGACTCTGGGGGAGCCTCCTCCCTGAGCAGACTGTCTCCAGGGCAAGAAGCTTACCCAGCTTCGACCTTCCTGGGTCTGGCCTCAGAGCATTCAGCCTCCCCTTC